CCGCCCCGCGGGCTCCGCCCCGCCCCGCCCCGCAGGCCCCGCCCTTGCTATTAAAGGCTTCCTGGCCCCGGCTTGGTCGCCCGTGGATTCGGAGCGGAGAAGCCGCCTCCTTGCCTCCTCTTTCTTGACCCTGCACGGCCCAGGTTTGGCTTCAGGGGTCGTAGGTCAGAACAAAGAGCTTAAATACAGGGGCTGGAGGTCAGGAGCGCGGCCGTGCTCCCACCGCACCCACGCGGTGGCTCACAGCCATCTGCAGCGAGCTTTGGTGCCCTCTGCTGGTGCACAGGCAGAATGCTGTGTAAATAATAAATAAATCATTAAAGAAAAAAAAACATAAATACATGGTTTCTGGGGCCTTGGCTTTCTGAGCGTAGATGCTATGCCCTCAAAGAGCCCACACTGTCTCCGTGCAAACCATCAGCGACTTCAGGTTAAGGAGTGGGATGAGAGAGAGAGAGAGGGAGTGCGCCCACACTCAGGGAAAGTTGGGAGCAGACCCAGTCTGTCCCTGCTGGAGCTCCTGGTCGGGAAGTCCCCAGGTGCGCGCTGGTCAGCTGAGGGGTATCTGGCCTGATAGCTCCCAGGTGGGTAGGTGTCGGCAGAGCCAGTACACCTAATGACACGACAGTGCAAACGGCTTCACACTTTAAGTTTTTAGAGCTCTGAAGCTAAAAACTCTTCCCACGGTTCCCGCCACCTGTCCCGTCCCCACCTCGCCTTGCAAATTCCAAATAGCTTCTATCTTTTCTAGGCAGAAACTGTCATGGAAGACATCTGTTTCCATGCTGTTTTCTCTGCCTGGAATCTACAGCCAAGTTGCTGTGCTCAGGATTAGACTTTCCTTATCACGCACACATTTCCTCCCACAGCCAATACTTACCTCATTACCAACGAGTTTTTTAAATGTTTTATGAATGAAAAAAGGAACAAGAAAGGAAGGACATGACTACTCCTAGGTATGATGGAGGTTTGTTGTAGGTAAAAGGGGGACATAGGGTCATCTGGGAGAGTCCAGAGAGAGGATGACGCTGAGCCCAGTGGGGAGAGGGAGAAGAAGGCAGACACAAGGGGGAGGGAGGGAGAGACCTGGAGGCCAGCAGGATAAGGGGTAGACAAAAAAAAAAAAAAAGCCAGGTAACCAAAATGGCTGGAGAAGTTTAGGGTGGGGGCTGGGGCATGCCAGGCAGGCATATCCTGTAACAGGTAGGGACTGAGGGATGCTGGGAGAACCCGCCTGGCCAGGTCCTCTGAGATGTCAAACAGGCAGGCGCCTCAGTTAACCATTTGTGCCTGCTCTGAGACCTAACATTTACCACCAACTGAAATAATCCTTCACTTCTTTAAAAAGTTGCCAATGGCAGGTGTAAGAAAAGTGAGGCGAGCTGGCCACGGTGTAATCCCGGCACTCAGGAGGCAGAGGCAGGCCGATCTCTCTGAGTTCGAGGCCAGCCTGGTCTACAAAGTGAGTCCAGGACAGTCAGGGCTACACAGAGAAACCCTGTCTCAAAAACAAACAAACAGGCAGAGAAGTCAGACAAGGAACCAACCAGGAAGTTACAGATTGTCTCTGTGTGTGTGTGTGTGGTGGTGGTGGGGGGGGGTGTTTTCAGTACCTGAGCACACTTTGTTTCTGCTGGTGAAGCGGAAGGGTGGGGCTGGGGCTAAGCTGTTCCTTACGGCTCTGCAGAGCCTGGCTCAATTCCTCCTGCCTGAAGGCTGCTCCCCAACAGTGGGAAGGAGTCAGGTGGGGACTCGATGGATAGAGGTGCCTGGGGACCTGAGCTTGATCCCCAGAACACACAAGGTATGAGAACCAAGGCCTACAGGCTGTCCTCTGAGACACACACACACACACACACACACACACACACACACACACACACACGTGAAGAAAAATAAAAGGGGCTCATCTTTCATCATGAGCGTGTAAAATTCCTCAAGAGCACAGAATTTTATTTCCAGGACAGTCACTATTTGCTAAGAAAAGAATAAGCGGGGTGAGGGGTGAGGGGGACTTGGGGGCACAGACAGAGGCCCCAAGCCTAGACGGGTGTGTCTGAAGGCCCACGGCACCTCCTTCCACAGTGCAAACCGGGGCGGAGGGCGCTCAGGGCGGTTTATTCCATGAAGGAGAATCTCGAGCAATGAAAGCCGTTAGTCGTCGCCGCGGGGCGTGGATGGTCCGCGGGGACCCCCAGAAATGGGGTGTTGGGGGTGGCCCCTCGAATCAGTGCGCTGCGCCCTGCCCGGAAAGGAGAGAGAGGGCGGTGGAGAGGCCGCGGCGGCTCGCCCCCCGCCCCCCGCGCGGCCCCCGCCCCGCCCCGCGCCCCCCGCCCCGCGCGGCCCACCTCCCTCTTCCGGCAGTCCCCGCACAGCACGCCGAAGGCCGCGTTCACCAGCTGCACGCCGCACAGCACCGTCTCCAGGCTCGACGCGGCCACCAGGATGGAGAAGAGGGTCACGTTCCAGGGGACCACGTGAGGCGGCGCCTCGCACAGACTCCACAGGGTGTGGTTGTGCAGGTAAGCGCCCCTGCGGACGGCGGGGGCGGGTTGGAGGGGCCCCCGCAGCGGCCCCACGCCCACGGGGAGGGACCCTGCTGCGGATGGCGGAGAGCCTCCGCGTGGGGCTGGGATTGAACTCAGGACCTCTGCGCGGGCCGCCGGCGCTCCCAACCTCGGGGCCCTGCAGCCCGGAGGGGCCCTCTAGCAGCTCGGTCTGGCCCACGCGGGCAGGGCGGGTGGGTAGCTGGCCGGCGCAGGCGCGAGGGGGGCTTACTGGGTGTCCTGGAGGTGGTAGTCCCACTTGTTGCCGACCAAGCATTTGGGTCCCACGCGCAGCCCGGCGCCCGCCACCGCCAGGCAGTACAGGGCGCCCAGCATCCCGAAGGCGGAGGAGAAGACGGAGCGCAGCATCTGGAGGGGTGGAGAGGAGGGGCGGGCGGGCTGGGGTGCGCGGGCCGGCCCCCCCCCCCAGAGGGGCCCCCCGGGACCCCGAGCGCCCCCCCCCGGGAGCCCCCCGCCCCGCGAGCCTCCCCCCCGGGAGCCCCCGCCCCCCGCCCCGCGAGCCTCCCTCCGAGAGCCTCCCCCTCCGCCGCGCG